CACCCAGCACACACACTTTTTGCCCCACTCCCCTCAGGAAGGAGGTTAAGGAGCATTAAGTGTAGAACCACTAGACTGAGGAACAGCTTCTACCCTGAGGCTGTTAGACTCATGAATCTCTAACTAGAATAATCACTGTGAAAAACCACATCATGTTGCTGCTGATCTGTTTCATGTTGCTGCTGATCTGTTTCATGTTGCTGCTGATCTGTTTCAATGTTGATGTGTTCATGCGTGCACATCTGCTCACAGACTCATGTTCATGTTTGTGCTGATGTTCAATGTTTTATGTTATGAGTGCTTAGTGTATATTTAGTTGATGTTTTTCTTAGTTCATATCTTAGATGTTATTACTGTTTTTCTTATACATTTTATTGTTGGATGTAACTGGGACCCCGTGTACATAATTTCGCTCCACCACATGTACCACATGAGGTGCGAATGACAATAAAGAAACTCTGACTCTGACTCTGATATATATATATATATATGATCATTTTGATAAAAAAATCTTTTTTCTTCTTCTTTCAGCTGCTCTCTTCTTCAGGGGTCGCCACAGCGAACAACTCACACGAAAACTTGGCAATTATTTTTACGCCAGACGCCCTTCCTGACTCAACCACAGACCACCGAGCTACCACAGCCCCCTGTGTGGAGCAGAGAGCTGACATCTAGGGCACCCAGGGGAGCAGATGGTGGGGTTAAGGGCCTTGCTTAAGAGCCCAGGTAAGTGAGGGTGGAGGCAGACACCTTTTCCCACCTACATTATGACGATGTTGATCCCGGGAGTTGAACTGACGACCTTCCAATCACAGGTCCACCTTCTCCAACCTCTGCCCCACCACTCACAATAAAAAAAAATAAAATAAGAATCTTAAAAAGAATGTGAACTCTTTTAAGAGCCAACACTCCAAGAACGAGCATGATCATGTGAGTTGATCTTGATCAGATTCCTTCTAGAAAAAGAAGTTTCCCTGTCACTCCTTCAACGACGTCTCACTAAATGAGACACATTTCTCTCATATCCCAAACTTTCAGCTGCAATGTAAAATATGAGAAAGCTTCTTAAAGTTGTCTGACTTTATTCTAAATTCTCTTTAGATAATGCATATTGTATTTGTTTTGTTCATTATTTGCATCAGTAATTAATGTAGTTAAGTCGGTCAGAACTGTAACAATTTATAATCACAGCATGAGAATATGTAAATATTAAGTGCTGCAGGGCTGGTGGAGCGTAATCTCATCAGCATGTCAGTGCAGTCCACACCTTCAGTGATGGTTCTGCAGAGAGTCAGTGTGCACGCAGGTACACACAAAAACCAGCAGAGTTCAGTTTGTGGGTTGAGTTCATGATGAAATTGTCTAATATTCTGACCCAAACAGTTTATTCTGCTGCCTCTGGTGTTGGGCTTCTGGTGCCCCATTATCAACACCTGTAAACAACCAGTGGCAATCCCACATTCCCACAATCTGGGACCAAAGTCCATCATCTAAGACAGTGGTTCCCAACCCTGGTCCTTGAGGAACACCATCCTGCATGTTTTTGTTGTTTCCCTCCTTTGACACGCCTGATTTGAATGAACGAGTGATTAACGGGCTTCTACAAAACTTGAGGAAGTAATTAAATCACTGAATCAGCTGTGTTGGAGCAGGGAAACAACAAAAACATGCAGGATGATGTTCCCCGAGGACCAGAGTTGAGATCTACTGCTCTAAGATGACAAAGCTCACCCCCACAGAGTTAGGTTTTTCAGAGATATGGAGTCGACACCTCAGTGTGGGATCAGTTTGGGTGTGCTGTTCATAGAGTGACTAACAATCCCATTGGTTGATTCATGACATGCTGGTTGAAGGATGGGATGGTGTCCCACAGCAGTGTATGACCAAAGAAGCATGAGGAGGAGGTGCCAAGCTGTTGTATCTGTGTATGGTTCTTCCACATGCTACTGAGGCCCCTGTTTGTTACATGAATACATGTATAAAATGCCATTATGTCTTGTTTATTTAGACTTCAATCATCCAATCCAATAAAATACACCAAACAAGAGTCAGTGTTTGTCACTGACAAAGAAGGTTTGGCAAGATTTCCATGAACGTAACTGGTAACTAATCTCTGCTGCTCAACCAACAAATGCATGTTTCTAACAAATACGGCACCGTTCAAAGGTAAATAAACACGCTGCTGCCCAACAGTGTAAGATTTGAGTCCAAGAAGCTTTGTAACAAAGAAACATTCCACCAAAGACAAGTTTCCTTATTTTTGTGCCGTTTAGACGATTTGAACCAGAAGTCTAAAGACCAAGGCTTAAAGAATCTTAAATACATTTTAAAAGTATTTTCTGACCCGTGAGGAACTGAATGATCAGCTCAAACACTGACGCTCAGATTAGTCAAAGTCAAAATAACTTTCAGAAAAAAAAAACAAGTCACCCAGTTGATGCTTATTAATTTAAGTGAATTAAAGTTGAGAGCTAATTTGTACAACCACAAAAAGTATCTTGAGTTTTGATTAAACTCAGGATGACCCTTTTAAGAATAATAAAAAAAATAAAAATAAAATCAAAACACAGCAATGTTGTTTTAATAAATCACAGCCAGGCATGAAACCCCCCTGATCTGCTTACGTGAAACAAGGTCAGGTTCAGTGTAAGCTATGATCAAATGACCACGTGTGGAACCAAATGATTGGAGCCGCAGTTTGCAAACATGGATCCATCTCAGTGGCACTTCATTGTTTATCATGTTGCGACTTATTGCTTTACAATACTACCGTTTTTAAATTATGCTTCTAAGGAGACAAACTTTCTTATAACCCTTTCAAACAATCTTGATCAAGAGTTCTCCAAACTTTTTGACATGGGAAACTGGACAAGTTCAGGACAGAAGACGTGTGTTTTCTTCATAATTAAACAAGAGACTTAGAGTCTGACAACTGCAGTTTATTTATTTTTTACACCGGACAATAAATTAATTATTAATACACTATCTTACAACCTGCATCTCCTGTTTTTGGGGTACCAGCACTGAAACGTTCATAGATCCTTCTGACCTCAGTCACAACGTTGTTCACATGAACAGACGCTCTTTACAAATGATTTATACTTTCAAACGCTGGCTGACATCCAGACCTTCACCAATGTGGATTCACACAGAAACACCGGGACATTGACCTCCAGGAAACTAACAGCAACGCCATTATTTGTCAAACCCAACGAGACTAAAGTTTTGTTTGCAATTATTCACAACTCGACATTCAGCTACAGCGCTGACATGACTCAGATGTAGCACACGAAGAGTCGCTAAAAGACAGGTGCATCAGTTAGGTGATCATCTACTGTATGCCAAGCTGTCAGCTAACAGGTCTATCTTTCAATTTTTCTGTGGCTGCTGGGAACAAAAGGCCTAAAGATCCCATTTCAAACAGGTTGTTTGCGTGGACACAACACTGGTTCATCCTTTGAGATGAGGATTCAAGGTTTCTTTGTCATCCCCATCACACGTGGTACATGAGGCGGAACGAAATTGTGTACAGGGTCCCAGTTAAGATAAGAAAGGTGCTCTTGTCAAACTGGTTGAAAACAACCAGTATATCTTTTGGACCCAACCCTACTGACCTGACTGAAAAATGTTGGATTGTATACCTGGATTATTGAGCATGGACTTTGTTGTTTTCAACCAGTTTGACAAGACTGTCAACAAGGAAGAGGGCCGGCAATGGAGGAGGGGGCGTACCAAAGAGACCATCTTATCACAAGCAGAACTGGTTTGTTCCACTTTGGAGTAAGCTGTTGGGGGGAAGGATCAGTTTTGTTGTGCGTTTCCTTGACTGATGAAGCCTTCCAGACCGAAGGCAAAACGTTTCAGCACAAAAAAAAAAAAAAATTGTCCAGATGACCTGTCTGAAAAATGTTGTCTTGAACGATACATCCAAAACTCTACATCTTTTGGACCCAACCCTACTGACCTTCAAAAACAAGAACGGCCGTAGCTCAGTCCGTTTTACAGACACCGACCTAAAGTTTGGTGTGGTAGTAGCTGAGGCCGATCCCCAACACATTTTATGAGCGCTAGCCGCATGCACAAGATCTTTGATGCTTTTCCACTTGGGATTCTTCTGCGCCTGTCTGTTAGCAAAATGGCTCATGAACCAGTGAATGTATTGTAGTGAAACTTTCAGGGGATTTATTTTCATGTACCTCAAAAACTCAGAATGGCCTCCACAGCCAAATGACCATGATCGCCACAAAAAATGGCTACGATTAGATCAGTTTGATAGATATTGTGCTATGATTTGGTGTGGGAGCAGCTGAAAGTTGTTGCTAACAACAAGCAACATGCAGAAACACTGTCTTATCAAGATGTTCAACTGTGACACACGCAAGGCAGCGGGCGATATGCATTCATCTGCAGGGCGCCTCTACAGCATTTCAGCTGAAGTCAAACAGCTTGAGCAAAAGTTACATTTTTTAACCCCCACATCTCCAAACAGGATCAACACTGACAGTGAAGAAGTTTCACCGCAGCCAACATCTGGTTTGTTTCTACCAGTTTTCTCAGGAAGCAGATGAGTCAGAGAGGAGGAGGATGTGCCAAGACTTTCACAAACTTACAAACTATTCCAGAGGAAATTAATCTCTATGCTTTGTAAAATAAATAAAGAAGATTAAAGGAGTTGCTCGATGTTCATACCGAGCAGAAGCAGTTTGACTTCTCTGGATGATTTCTGCAGGTCTTCTCGCAGGTTTTTGTCGATCATTTTGCTCCTCTCCACCGCAGCCTTGTCCTCGGCGCTGATCGTGCAGCCCATGACCGCTCTCTCTGCAGCTTTCTCAGCCTCGGACAGTCCGTCAGCAGCCCAGGAGCTGGAAGTGAAGCCCGGTCCGGAAGCTCCTGGCCCGGTTGGTGTGAACTCAAGTGTCCCAGCCCCGAGAAGAAGAAGAAGAGAGGAGGAAAGGCGTTGGCAGAAACGTCCTCTGTCTAACTTTTAAAGACCTCTGAGCTCACGCACGTTCACCCCAGATGATCCAAAGAGGCTTTTCAGACGAACAGAGATTTAAATTAATATATATTGTTTAGAAATAAGCTTTTAGATTGAAAGACAAGTTTCTTTTTCTTTCTTTTCAATAAAACCGATTTTTGTTGCGAGTAAGCGCCTCTATCCAGCTGTTGCAGTTGCAAAACAAGTTATAAAAAACCTGTGGTGGAAAAAATAAAAGGGGTGAAGTCAAAAAAAAACAAAAAAAAACGAGTCCACTAGGCTTATGGGTAATGTAGTTTTCTTCAAAACGATCCCCAACTCGTCAGTTGTTTTCCACATAGTCGTGGATAAACTCTTCTTGCTCCTATTCAGTTTTTAAAAAGTCAAAACAATACGACTCAAAACTCAACGAGCCTAACCTGTCTAAATAAAAGTTGAACGGAAAAAAAAGCTGAACGTTTTCTTTCTATTTTTTCTTCTACTGTAGTCAGTTGTTTTTTTAGGCAGCTCAAGCTTTTTGTGGTGTAAAGTCACCGCCTAGTGGATATGTGGTAGAACTGCAGGTCTTGATAAAACTAAAACTGCACGTTTAGTCATAACCACATAAAGTTTTTTTTTCTTTTTTTTTTTTTAACAACAGACACATTGTGAATGCAATAATATAAGTTGTAATCTATTGATTGGACTGAGCGGAATCTGGAAGGTGAGTAAACTTGACTCGATGCTAAACTAGCATAATGAGGAAAAAAAAATTGTCTATACAGATTATTATAACTAGTAATATTTAATCTGTTATTACGCCACAAAGTTTTTCTCAGACTTTTTTGAATAAGATGTCCTATTTTATGTCATATGTTAAAATAAAAAGGTTTTGCCTGAAAAAGTTAAAAAAATAAAAATAAATAAATAAATAAAAAAACTGCAGTTTTTACATACTCAAACCTTTATGTTTGGTGCAATTTAATTTCCACATTTTACTTGTTTTTTTTTTTTAATCACTTTTTGGTACCACTGGAAATAAAATACATGCAATAAAAAATAAAAAATAGTGGAAATTAGTAGAAACACCAAACATAATGACTGGAAAATCCAAAACAAATGCATCACATAAAGCTTAAAAATGGTGAAGGCAAAGAGCTGTTTCAAGTAAAAATACATACATAGAAAAATATTAATAAATAAAAACTTGATGATTTTAAAATACCTCTTTTTCTTCAAATCCAAGTCTCGAATTAGATAGATGGAAATTTAATGTAACCGTATAACCAAATATAATACAGTATGGTGGGAGTGGTGGCACAGAGGTTAGAGAAGGTGGGCCTGTGATCGGAAGATCGCCAGTTCAAGCCCCGGTAAGACAACATCAAAAATGTGGGTTGGGTAGGTGAAGCACCCACACCTGCCCCCATCCTCATTTGCCCCACCCTAGGCCCTTGAACAAGGCCCTTAACCCCCACCATCTTCTCCTCCCGGTGTCCTAGATAGCAGCTCTGCTCCACACAGAGGGCTGTGGTAGCTCGGTGGTCTGTGGTTGTTGCATCAGGAAGGGCATCCGCTGTAAAAATAACTGCCAAGTCTTCGTGCAACTTAGTTCGCTGTGGCGACCCCTGAAGAAGGGAGCAGCCGAAAGAAAAGAAAAAAATACAGTATATGTATATATATATATACATACAGTATATGGCTTATATTCTTCTTTCGGCTTTTCCCTCTTCAGGGGTCTCCACAGTGATTCATCCTCCTCCATCTGTCTCTGTCCTCTGTTCTCACTCCAACTACCTCATGTCCTCTCTAACTGCATCCATATATCTTCTCCTTTTCTTTGTCCTGGCAGCTGCATTTCAAAAAACCTTCTACCAATATACCCACTGTCCCTCCTCTGGACATGGCCAAACCATCTCAGTCTGGTCTCTCTAACTTTATCTCCCAGTTGTTCAACCTGTGCTGTACCTCTGATGATCTCATTCCTAATCTTATCCAGCCTTGTCACTCCTAAGGAGAACCTCAACACCTTCATTTCTGCCACTTCTATTTCTTTCTTCTGTCTTTTTGTCAATGCCACTGTCTCCAGACCAAACAACTACCTAAACTCATACATCCTTAAGGCTTATATATAATAAACTTTAATCAATTTGTGTTTTTTTTTATTAATTGAATTTATTTTCTGTGCATAGGGACAGAAGCAGTGAGAATTATTGGACAAATATAACTAATAGTGACTTGATAAATGAGGTCAACAGACTTTTGAAGCATCTTCTGTTTGTAAACACACCACTAATCAATAACTGCTCCTTTTTTCTTCAGCAGCTTCAGAATCCTGCTTTTGCTGCCAAACAAGCTCTTCATCACTGTCATTGGTGCAGGTTACCACGGCAACAGATGATTTTAGAAAACTCAGGATTTGAGAGTAAGTGAGAAATTCATGTAATAGAGTTGATTTCTACTCCATCCCTGCAGTCACCTCCGCAGTTTCTTGTTTTTGTTGTTGTGAGCCCGTTTGCGTCGTCTCGTGTGTTCGCAGTTTTCTGTTTTAAGCATTTTGTTTACACCTAAACTCCACTGAGGGCGCCGCGCTCTCACTGACCTTCTGGAGTGACGCACCGGTGAAACCCATCCTTGAGCACTTTTAGTCAGTGTGTTCCAGTGTGTCACAAAGGTCAGGCTGTTTGAAGTGATGCTGGGCGCTGCAGGAGGCGCTCCACGCCGCTGAACATCACGGCCGTGAGTCACCGTGTCCGATGGGGAGCAGCACAGGAGCAGGGATGACAATGAGAAGGATCAGGAAGCAGACAAGGAGCTTTGGGTGATGCTGTGCTAATAAAAAGAAACTCACACAATCACAGAAACAAACAAAAATAAAGTGAGACAGCATTTGTGATTTTTAAGGATCATTTTGCTCAGCTGCTTCCAGTTAAGTTCTCTGATAGTTAAGGATACCAAGTGAACATCTAGATTAGTTAGAAAATTTCAACAAAAACAAATTAGGACAACGTTTTTTGGAAAACTTTGGGTCTTGCTGTTCATGTGGACGTTGTTTTGATACACAACATCAAGCTGAAGTTTCTGACCATGTTCAAATATGAAACTGTCCTCTTTCTGCAGGATGGGACAGTTTGTCACACAAAAACAATTGGATGCACCAAGTTCAAGATATTGACCTGTCGTCCAACTTTTTTAGGTGTTACACCCAAGTGTAAGATGTGGTGCACCTTCCAGGGCTTGAAATATCTGCTGCAGATGACTTTGTGCCAGAAGATGTTCAGAGGTAGAGTTCATGCTTCAACGGGTCATGGATGATTTGTCACAAGAAAGGTGGTCTTCTCAAAGAGGTGGTCATAATGTTATGGCTACAAAGCGCTTATTTCAGCTTCTTTTTTTTTGGTTGTTGATTCATAATTGTGTCTGGTTATCGAAAGAAAATAATTATTTAGATTTGTTGCAGAAATCAGTCAGTGTCAGAGTTTCTATATTGTCAATCACGTCACGGTACATGTGGTGGAACGAGATTGTGTACCCAGGGTCCTAATTACATTCAACAAAAGAAACACAGTAATAAGATCTAAGATATGAACTAAGAAAAACATGAACTATAAATACGCCAAGCACTAATAGCATAAAAACAATACGTCAAACAGCAGCACGAATGAACACAGTAACATGAAACAGATCAGCAGAAACATGAAACAGATCAGCAGAAACATGAAACAGATCAGCAGCAACATGATGTGATTTTTCCACAGTGATTATTCTGATTAGAGATTCATGAGTCTAACAGCCTCAGGGTAGAAGCTGTTCCTCAGCCTAGTGTTTCTACACTTAATGCTCCTTAACCTCTTTCCTGAGGGGAGCGGAGCAAAAAGCGAGTGTGCTGGGTGAGTGGGGTCCTTCATGATGCAGGTGGCCCTCTTCCTGCATCTGGAGGTGTAGATGTCTGTGATGGTGGGGAGGCTGACTCCAACAGCCTTCTGTGCAGCTTTCACCACTCTCTGCAAAGCTTTTCTTTCTGCAGCTATGCAGCCTCCATGCCACACGTTGATGCTGGAGCACAGGATGCTCTCCACTGCACACCTGTAGAAGGAGGTGAGGACTGAGCTTCCCAGACCAGCTCATCTCAGCCGCCTGAGGAAGTAGAGTCTCTGATGAGCTTTCTTGATCAGGCTGGTGGTGTTGTTGCTCCAGCTGAGGTTGTCATTCATGTGCACACCCAAGTACTTGTAGCTGGAGACCACTTCCACTGCAGATCCTCTTATGTTCAGGGTGTGTGTGTGGGGGGGGGGGGGGGGGGGGGGGGTAGGTGTGTTTGTTCCTTCTGAAGTCCACAACTATCTCCTTCGTCTTCTTCACATTGATGTGAAGGTTATTCTTTGCACCAGCTCTCCAGGTGTTCCACCTCCTGCCTGCAGCTGGACTCATCATTGTTTGTGATGCATCCCACCACCATTGCATCATCTGCAAACTTTACAATGTGACAGCCTGGATGGGTAGCTGCACAATTATACGTGAGCAGAGTGAACAGGAGAGGGCTCAACACACATCCCTGAGGAGAGCCATTGCTGAGGGTTATGGTGGAGGAGGAGAAGTTGTGGATCCTCACTGATTGTGGTCTGTTTGTTAAAAAGTCTTGGACCCAGTTGCAAATGGAGGGGCTTAGCCCTAGTGTGAATAGTTTGTCCATCAGGGTTTGGGGGATTGTGGTGTTGAAGGCGGACGTGAAGTCCATAAAGAGCATACGGACATAAGAGTCCTTCTGCTCCAGGTGGTTGAGCGCAGTGTGGACCACAGATGAGATGGCGTCCTCTGTTGATCGGTTCTCACGGTATGTGCACTGGTGAGGGTCCTCGTTGATGTTGATGGTTGTTTTGATGTGAGTCATGACCAGTTTTTCAAAGCATTTAGTGACAATTGGAGTGAAGGCTGGCTGTTAGTCATTCAGACCAGTCACTGTAGAGCTCTTTGGGACTGGGATGATGGTGGCAGTCTTCAGGCAGGTGGGAACTGTCTCCAGGTAAGTGAGGAGTTAAAAATGTTGGCCAGCACCTTGTAGAGCTGATCGGCACATTCTTTCAGCACCTTCCTGGGGATGTTGTCTGGGCCGGTTATTTGTGAGGATTAATCCTCCTGAAAGTACTCCTTACTTCAGCTGAGGTCACGGTGAGATGCTCTTCATCTGGTGGTGAGGTGAGTCTGTGCTAGGTGGTCTGTTCGAGTCTTCAAATCGTGCGTCAAACTTGTTGTGGACAAATTTTGACAAAATTAAGTGTTTAAGTTAAGAACGTTGTCTGAGTCTCAGTCATTGCCCCAGATTATTATTATTACTGATTATTATATTATATATAACTGAATGACAAAATGCTCAACTCCAGTGCTCTTCACTGACTCCTCCCTTTCTATTTTCTCTTTAAAATCCGTGTAACCGTCCAAAATCACGTTTTTGGATCGTTAAAAGCAGCTAATCTGAGAAGCTAAGCTATGAGCTAAGATAATTGGCCAACCTTGAGGAAAAAACTTCAGTCTTGTCGAAGCTCCAAAATTCACGGTTGAAAGCTGTGTCTTTGTGTAAAAACTAATTTTTCTCTGCAAAAAAAAGCTGAGAACTTTTTTTTTTACTGATTTTTCATTAAAAGTTTTGTGTGAAAAATGCTATGCTAAAGAGCTCAAACCACACCGAGCGCCTGCCATTTTGAGAACAGAGAAAAGGAAAGGGAGGCAGCCCATGTCACATTAAGGGGCTTAATTGTCATTCAAACAATATTATCGTTTATCGCAATAATTTCTGAGACAATTAATCGCCCATCAAAATTTGTTATGGTGACAGGCCTACCATTCATCTGCTGTAGGTGCTTCTTTTGTCTACGTTTCTTATGATTTACAACATGCTGCCATCAGGTACAGGAACTGCACAAGAAGTTTGTTTGAAATTTGTTTACATGATTACAATAAATGAATTTACAAGAAACTAGAATAGTTTAAAACTTTTTTTTATTATTATTTCAGTGCATTGAGAATACACAAGAGAACAAAGAATGAATATTAACAGTCTTTTCAGCTTAGGTACAAAAGAGATACAGAAAGGGAAAATCATGAACGAAACTTCTGTTTAAAAATGTGCATGAATTTGACTGAAAGTTGGAAATATGAACCACCTTCAGAGCAGATCGTTTCTCCATCTCTAATGGTCAGAGGGTGGCAGACACGCAGCTTAAAGCGTTTTATGAGTCGAGTCGTGGCAGTTTGGCTGCTATCAACGGAGATGAGACTCTGGTTCGCAGACGATGGCGGAACAAATCAAAAGTTTACATCATTTTATAACATAAAACTTTGGATTTACAGCCACAAATAATAAATTAAAGCACACACATGCATGCTGAGGAACACTGAAGACTTGAGCAGGGATTTCTTCTCACTCAGAACAAAACATTTTAAAACATGAAGATGGTACGACATCACTGCTTGGAAAAACAAAGCAATATACAACAAAGTCATACGGGAGGAAAACTGCGAGAGTTATGCATTCTCCTCACAAAAGGACCTTTTTTTGTTCTGACTTCCAGCGAACACTCAACCCTCCCCGTACGACTTGTGTCGAGACTTGTGATCAGGCCGACTACCACATATGAGGCGGTCCGTAATAGATGCAGACAGCAAGACAGGGCAAGTATAAAAAGTCTTTGGAGCGGTCACTGCTCGTGTGACTTGTGCAAACTGTTTGTAACCCACCTGAGCTCGGAGAAACTTATCTCCGGTGTCGTCCATTTGTTGCTAAAAGAGGCCAAAGGCAAAGCCTTCATGTGTAAGCACTGTCACACCTGTGTGCTGCGTGTAGCCACAACAAGCCTGGTTGTTTATTGCACAAACACACACTCACGCTCCCACTGTGTTTACCTGTAAACAGTCCAGACATCACAGGGTAGATGGACACTGGTCGTCCAAACTCGTTCATGCCTAGTTTTTCTTTTCCACCAGTTTTAAGGCGCCGCAGCTGCTTGGCTTTGAAGCCGAAACCTTCTCAACAGCTGCAGCGTTTGTCTTTGAGTGGAATGAGCTGAAACCACGAGTCTCCCATTTTTGTGAGGAGGTGATAATCACAAGACTAAGAGCAGATAAACAGGATAATAACATTCTGGAAAATGGTTAAAAATACACGGTCAGCCTGTTTATTATAAATACCAGCACCAGCAGCTGTGAAACGATCCCGTTCAACCCAATAAATATTTCAAATTGAGAAGCATTTTTATTTATTTTTTGTCTGACTTGTGAAAGCTTCTGAATGTTGCCTTATTCTCAGTGGTGGACGTGTTAAATTAATTTCTCAGCGATCTTGGGAGTGAAATACTGACGAAAATGACAACAGCTAAAAATCTACTTTGTGCAATGGCCCAGTTAAGACTGGGATCATGCTGATGACTTGAAAGTTGTTTTGGATTTTCAACTCGATCTCAAAAAATAATGATCAGAACTAAGTTGGACCGGTCAGTCTGAGTGGAAAATTGTGCTCTCCCTGAAATTTACCCTCAGAAAGTTTCCGAGCTTCTTTCTGTTTGTGTAAAGTTTGTCACTTCACTTGAACTGTAACCAACACATGAAATGTTTTGTGACAGAGCCCAGTAGCCCGACAACATATGGCTTCCAAAACACACAACTTTGCCATGAGGCGGCACGCACATCTACAAAAAAACATGTCTATATACCTTCAGTTCTTCAAAGAAGATACTGGATTTTGCAGTTTGCTTTTTATCTTAAGTTGTTGCAGCATAAACAAGGAATACTAGAAAACGTGAATAAAACTAAACATATTTTTTGGATCATCAGATGGCTACAGACATGGTACTCGTGGCAGCTACATCACTGGTACAGTTTTGCAACAGTTCTCTGCTACACAAAGCTCATTGTTCGGCTGTTGTTGTTGCTGCTGCGTGAACTCTGCGGTTTCCTCAAGGATTTGCCCCGGGATGTGGAAGTCAGCTGTTGAGTTCTGCTCAACAGCTGATTCCTGAAGACCTTCAGTTTCTGGTTCCTCTGGGCTGGCTCTGCTGTGAGAGTTGCAGGGCTCCAGATTGCATCCAGTACCCTGAAGGAACTGTAAGAAGTTCTCCTCAATGGAGGCCTCGCGGCTGGCCAGCTGCTCCCCTTCACTGGGCCTGGCCCTCTTGAAAAGGCAGGCCAGGTGTCGGGCCAGCTCCTCTCGAATTTGCCTGTTTAGACAACCGTAGAAGAAGGGGTTGGAGGTGAAGCAAAAATAGCCGATCCAGGTTACCACGTTCTCCAGCTGGGCCAGTGAGGCCGGAGAGGTGGACATGACAGCCGAGTAGAGATGGAATGAGAAATATGGCAGCCAGCAGCAGAAGAACTGACCTCCCACTGCCACCAGAACCACTGCTGCCTTCCCACCAGTGAATATTCTTTGAGGGGTTGAGCGTGCGCCGGTGCCTCCGAGGCTGGCTCCCACGGTGGAGTGGCTGCTGATGGAGTCGGAGCGTTGCCGTGGCGTGTCCATCCAGGTGGGGTTGGGTCCATCACGCATGGCTGCTACTCGGGCCACCTTAAACATGTTGCAGTAGACCACCAGAATGATCAGTACCGGGAACAGGAAATATATTATTGAGAAGAAGACCATGAAAAGCAGGCGAGTGGTCCTGCCTCCTGTCCAGTGAAGTGAGCATTGTCTCTGACTGGGAATGAGGACTTCAGGAGCACCCAGACTCGGGGTCCCCTGAAGCAGCCAACCTAGCAGAGGCAGTACAGACATAACAACAGCTTTAATCCATATTCCCACTAATACCGTCACCACCACCCCCACTGTCATCTTCACCTCATGCCGCATAGGATAGACAATGTAGTAGTAGCGCTCCACGTTAATGGCACAAATGGTGAGGATGGCAGCACTCACTAGACAAACGCTCAAGCAGAGGTAGCTTCGACACAGCGCCTCGTTCATCAGGACCCAGTCTGACAGCATCCCCAGGGGCATCACCAGCAGCGCTGCCAGCAGGTCCACCAGACATAGGTGGAGCACAAAGGCAAACTTACGTAGCTGGGGCGTTTTAGTGATGACAACCATCACGGCCAAGTTTCCCACCACTGCCAGAACGTCCATGATGAGCATAATACACAGCCCCAAGGTCTGGTTCAGCTCCACCTCACGCTGAGTGTTTCTGTCAGACTCGGTTACGTTAGAGATAGTCGACTGCTGTGAGGCTGCAGAAGTTGAGAGAGACCTGTTGTGCCAGGTGACAGAGTGCTCCATGAGAGGATGGGACACAGAGGAGAGAGTTCGCTGAAGTTCACGGGTCCATCACCCATTCTCCCCGTCGTAGGGCGTCAAGCTCAGCCAGTGGTATCCGTCATAATAACTGGAGGTGTAGAGACCCTGACCCCTGCAGACCATAGGGTGGGGTTCTGCTGACGGCCACACGTGTTCTCCCAGTCGTTGATTATCTTCTCTTTCTGTTTCGCTTTTCAGATGGAAGATCTGAAAGAAAAACAACGGTATTATTCAGTCGTCTACCGAAGACACGAGACCTTTGTGCTAAAGGAACTCCTGTCTTGTAAGTACATTTTATTTTATTATTAACTTTTATTTAACCAGGCAAATCCCACTGAGATCACAGATCTCTGTTGCAAGGGAGGTCTGGGCCTGAAGGCAACCTAACATGCATGTTTGTGCTCTGTGGGAGGAAACCGGAGTGCCCGGAGAAAACCCATGCAAGCACGAGAAGAACATGCAAACTCCACACAGAAAGACCCCAGGTCCAACCGGGGATTGAACCCCGGACTTTCTTGCTGTGAGACAACAGTGCTAACCACTGAGCCATCGTGCTGCCAAATGATGTAGTGTATGATGTAGTGATTGTGTCACCAGTTTATACCCTATCATAAAAAGTTTAGCTGCTGTAAAAGTTAACATTTTTATCCAATATCTTTTTAATTTGCTAAACTGGAGTTTCGTTTGGCTAAAATGAACATACAAATGATACACGTTCTTGTCCTGATGCATGCTCAATAATCAAGACTGAGTTTGTTCTGGACGAGTTCTTCTTTGTTGAAACGGATTCTTCATGTCAGCATAGAAGAACCCGTCCAGAGTACGTGACTCAACCTTGTTAGATATCCATTCTTGTGCTGATCATGTTGAATACAGGTACACCTCTGTGGGCCAATAAATGATTTAAAAAAACAAGCATGTTTGCTCGTGCAGATAAAAATAGGTTAGTGCTACTAACTCAGATTTGTGAACCTGCAAGCGCTTCATAGCATTTAAGTTGTAAAAAGTACTTCTGGTAGTTTTACTGCAAACACACTGTGTTTCTTCAAACTATTTGCTGTCAGAAGCATCACTCTGGATGCAGTCTGCTCTTCCTTGCAGTCATCATTTATTATATATTTGGCATCTGCATGCTCAGATGTGTGTTTTCAGGGCAGCCAGCACCCTAGGGAAGAGCTAAAAAGCAAGGGTGGACCATATGTTCCCATTAAGCGGGCGAAGAAGCAAATAATAATGTGCAAATAAACTGCAAAACTCAGCATTTACAGAGCTCTGTACTGCTGTTAGTGAAAGGAGGAAAAGATCGATGAACCCGCTCTTCATATTCACACAATCCCTGACACTGTTTCCTATCATTAAAACAGATCAAAAATTATATTTTTTAAAAACTGCACATTTGCCATATTTACAGCCGTCTTGTTGAAAAATGTCATTTCGTACAAGAAGTTTTCATTCATGATCTGAAACGAGTGCATGTGCTGGTGGATCACGATTGTTTTCTGGTTGAGTAGGCAGTGTTTACTGTCACAACCTCACCTGGATGCAATCCCACGCAATGTTAGAGCTGAGGAATAAGCACCAAAGTGTTGGTACATTTCCATACGCTGCACACCTGCAGGTGCAAGTTTCCACTTCCCAACTGCGACTGCCTGAAAAGACTCTTCCTCCTTCCCTCCCACGTAACGTGTTCGTCAGGCTCAGTGGCCATCACCTGAGAGGTCATCTTTTCCAAATAGGTCAAAGTGTTACAGTCGCCTAATTAAACGACTTGTGAACAACTCCGATGCCGAGAAGGAAGCACCTCTGGGATTTTTAATCCAGAGAATACTGACTGTTTTAAAGGAATCATCGCCACATGGCCCCCAATGAAACATACAAAAGATTTATTTGACAAATGTCTGTTTAAAAATCAAATTCTAAATAAAATGGTTCATTTCATTTTGCCCAAATGGCACAAACAAAACTATTTATGGAGGGATGGAAAGACTCCTCGCAGTTTATTAGTTAATGTAATCGAATCAGTGCGAGCAGTGCAGTTTAAGTTCTAACTCGGGGTTTGTAAGCTGATAAAATTGATACTGAGCTACAATATAAGGTTGTGTGGAGTATCTCAGACTGCTGACTAGGAACCGTATGACCCTATCATATGCACATGACACTCTGTTTACTGAGAGGAGAAAAGTAGTCTGTTGTTTCTGCAGAGCCCTTTGACTTCTCTGCATCAACACGCAGAAGAACATCCGGACGTGAAACAAAGTGTCTGATTTTGTCTTTTTCACGTGAAAACAGAGATAAGACACAGTCCACCGTCTGATGAGTCACAGCCTCCCCCTGATCGCACCTTCCCACCCACGCACTCCGGCATTAAAGCAGGTATGGCTGTGAATGATGAAGTGATGAAAAGTCGGTGACATACCTCACTGTGGAGAGAGCTGCTTCATCCAGGGGAGCCTCACAGTCTGCTGAGGGACCTGTTTCACTTTCTCACCCGCACACACACACTGATGCACACGCCACGTCACAGAGAGGGATGTGGGGTGGGGGGTGAAAAGGAGAGTCCTGTGTCTCCTCCTCACCTGGCCCCTTGCATCTTGTCTGCGATCAGTCGTGCAGTGCACACCTCTCAGCTCGTTCTCTTCGATCCAGATGGGAGAGGCAAAGATGGAACAAAAATTAAACAGGAGGAGGGGCCCCTGTCTTCCAGTCTGCGATGCACAAATGGGTGGACACACTCCTCCTCCCCACCTCCTCCTCCTCCCTGGTCCACCTCACATGCACTTGCCGGGAGGAACTGCAGAGCTGCATGGGGCAGACAGGCAGCGGGTGGGAAGGCAGGTTCCCCCCTGGCTCTCCACTGGGTCTTAGTGCCTCGTTGCAAGCTGATCTTTCTGCAGGTCACATCAGGCCCAGGAAGGCGAGTGTGCAACAATCACTTTTTAGCTCGAGGATGGACATTTGTCTCGTTCTGTGCCTCCTGCTGCTCATTTAGCCAGCAACCCTCCCCACAATATCTGCTCAGTCCAGCAAAAGCCTTCTCACGAGACCGGATTATTGATTTGTACAGAAGTAACTAATCCTGGAGGGTTATATTTAGGAGCTGAGAATAACATTTACTTGACCCCCACCCCCCCCACACACAACCAATATATGTATTACAAGTCAGATCAGAAAGTTTAGTTCACTTCAGTGTGAGAGATGAATGATCCAATGCATTGATCCCGGAAGAAGTTACAGCCACCAAAACACTCAGGAACACAAGAATAAATGAAAGGCATTCCTTGAAGAGTTATAAACAAAAAAGGAAAAAGGAAAGGCAAAGTTAGAGCTAACCTTAAAAACATCATTATGCAGATCTTCTGTTCAGAGGATGTGACGGGGACGACTCACAAATCAAACTGTATCTGGACATTTGTAAAAGTGACTGAGTTGTAGCCGTTTCTCTGTTGGCTGAGCTCAATTATCTGTGTTACCATCTTAAAATGGACTGATTTTAAGTTATTCACATGTAGCTCTATGTCTACTGATAACTTCCTGAGTTTCATTCAGATCTGTTCAGTGGTTCAAGAGATATTTTGCTGACAGAGAGATAGGATTTACCACATAATGCCAAAGTTAAAGCAAAGATCTTGTTATTGCTCAGAGAATGTGCTAAGGATGAGCAACTAACCAGATTTTAGCTCAATATCTGTAAAATTGATTGACTTATAAAATTGTTTTGTGTTAGTAAAGTTTGATTGGCTGTGGCAGGCTTCTTGAACCGGTGGGTCTTGAGATATTTTGCTAACACAACAGTCAAACACAGACAAGCTCGCCTAACTTTCATGGCGATGGACAATAAGACTGGAAGACAACTGAAGTAATACAGTGTAATTTTTTGTCATTTGCTTTAAACTGGGCTTGAATCTCTAAGCTGCTGCCTCTGGAAAACAATCTTCAGGGGGGTTGATTTGTATGTAATAAACATACTATTGGGAATACTTTCACATGATATGATTTATATGAACATGTTAAAGAGCCAAGCAGAAACAAAGTGATGTGTAAAGCTCTACTCGTCCCCTCGTGTCTCTGTGTTTTCCTGTGTGAAATCAGGAATTACATGCGGGATGTTTCCTGTCACGTCATGAAGCATGCTTCCCGATCCATCACTAGACTTGGTGCTCCATCAACCCTAGTTGCATTTGTTTGTAACCTACAAATCAATTGGTCATTTAAAAGCAGATTCATTTATTGATTGCTGTTTAGATCACAGAGTTGTTGAGAAGATCTGACTCTTCTCTGTTACAAATTTTAACTGGAACGAAGCGTCAGATTTTACTTTTGAGCTGAGTTTCAGCACTTCATAGGAGAGAAATGCATATCATGAATAACAAGTTTAATAAATGTTAATTTGAGATGTGATGGCACTTTTGCATTTCCCCCCAAGGCGTTTCCAAGAGGGGAAAGCGAGAACACAAGACTCTTTGTGCCGGTTAATGTGTGTGTGTGTCCTGTGACCGTGCTCGTGTCTGAGGTGTTGAATCATGACGGAAATAGCAGATACGCGGTCATGCCAGCAGCACCAATCACAAGGAGGGGGAAATACAATGGTTTCCATGGCAACAACAACTTCAGCCCCCTTCTTACACCTCCAGCATCAACCTCAGGGCAAAGCCTTGTACTCACGGTGTGGATGAGCAGCCGTTTGGAGTGTCGCTCTTTGTGTTTTGTGAGATGATTAATTATTCTCTGATTGTTTTCTCAGTGTTTAACTGAATACAGGTAGGTTGATTTACATCAGTTACTGCTGCTGATCCAATGTGCCTGTCATTAAAACTGTAATCTCAAGTCTCACCAGCAGGGGGCGTTCTCACATTTAACAAGTAACGACATTGCACAAAAGTGTCTTTAAGATTTTGCACTTCCAACACACTTCAAATGATTAGTGCAGACGTTTGACGCTCATCTCAATAAAGGATATTAAACTTTTTGCTTTTATTCAGATC